GACCTGTCGTTATTCTATATCTTACGCTCTGTGACAAACTGTACAGATTTCTATTAAAACGATTGATTAAATATAATAATATAATAGTTTCAGTATCTATTTTACCTTCCATTACAATCATAATTATGTCTGAAAATGATGGAAAAGTCGGACAATAATGAGTACTGTCTTCCCACCAAAACTAAGCGATAATCAAAATCTTGATGCAAAGTCTGTTGGCCACTCAGACGTTCACATCTGAATGCAGAAATAAATAACATGAAAAATAAACAAACTCACGATCATTAAAGTCTTTATATGTTACTGTTTGTTGAATACGACGACTCTGAAACGTTTCTACAGTAGCCCAAACCCAACACAACTTGCTGTTTCAGTTCAATGTATGAGCAAAAGAAAACTCCGATTTCGTATAAGAATTGTCATTAATTTGACAAAATACACAGTTTGAAGAATTTTATGTACAGGTTAAAATTGGTATGATCTACAATTATTGTAAAATATCAGTACTTATTTTTATCAACGCACTAATGCAGCAATGACAAAATGGAGACGTACATATATGCAAACCTATAGGGTTTTTCTTCCTTGTAACATTTATAATTTATTCATATATCAAAATAACACTAATAATGATAGGCCAAATGCTTTTTTGTTTTTCTCTGTTTCACATAGGTTCAAAAAATTTTCTTCTCTCGTGCAGTTAGTTGTTGTAAAAAGTGAAGGATATTCATTAGGCGCTCATCGTATTACTTAAAAATAAAGTTTCATATACGTGAATTACAGCAGCTCTGCAACTGTTGACTTTTCTTTTATTTCTAAATAGTACAACAAACTGATGTGCAATTTAAGATAATATAACAGCGTTGCTCCAGAAAATTTAGAAACAAATATCTTTTAAAGAGTTTTTGAAAAATATAAGAATTAAATAAGTTTAAATATTATAAATAATAAAGCAACAAGCGTTCAAATCAAGCATATGAGGCTGTTGTTTCAAAGTAAACCATAGCAATGTCAAAATGTAACATGGAACAGATGTTTAAAGTTTAATTATAAAAATGTATAAATGTACAATTGAAAACATTGCACTTTACCTAAAAACAAAGTAAATATCTATTTTGTATTTTATTTCCGAACAAATCTTAACTTTTTGTATTAAAAAAAAATCTTTCCCTGTTCAAACTGAAACTCTAGGTTTTAATTCTTTAAATATATTTATCGTTGAAGCTATGTGTCACTGTTGTAGCCGTCTTTGTAGATGCATTCATAGACTTACATGTCAACAATTTCATCTTGCCACTGATCGTCTATTTGATAACATTTCACTATTTTGCAGGGTTGAAGCTTACTCTTGCATGTTTAGACTGTGAAGTCAAGCAAAACTGCTTTGACGGGGAGATTTTTTTCTTTATGTATTTTCTGCTTAATGCGGAAAGTAAGATGCAATTAAAGTAAGTATATATGTATTTGATACTACTTGTTGTTTGCTTTTACTGCAAAGTAATTGAGGTATAGTGTTTGATGTGATCTGTTTTTAAGAGCACACTACAAAATATGGCATTTATTATAAATTCTGTTTCGAGAGTATCAAACAAAGCTTCTAAAATCAAAAGAGCTATTTTCATTTGAAGAGAGAAAGGTTACAATACAAAATGAGAAATCAATGGTAAAATGCAAATTAAACATAACTTAAAAAGTAATATTTCAATATGATCTTTGTAGTGACTGTGTTTCGTTGTTTTCAAGTGACATGTTGACGAAAATTGGCTGTTTAATGACATACAGCAACATGAACAGTAATCTAATGATATGTCTAAACTTGCACAATAGCACCAATACATATGTAGTGAAAGAACAGTATTCCAAAGGCTGATAAACAAATCCGTGACTGTATGAAAAGAACTTGTTAAAGGACAAAAAGAGGTAACAGTGGGTAAAAGCTATGCAGATAGGATGATATCCTGCAACCCCAAGCTCTGCTCGTAAGGTTTTCAACAGATTCCTTTTACCACATGTTTATAACTGATCTGCCATCAACAATGGTTTCTGATGAAGATGTAAATCTAAAACTTCCAGTATATAACAATCGGCTACATGATATGACATTGACTGAAACCGGATAAAATGGTTACCAATATGTGTTTTGAAAAGCGAATTGCTTTTGTTATTAAATAAATGAGTGAAAATGCATAAAATATCGCACATTCCATGATGTCTGTCTACAAAAGGTTAAAAAGACACAAATTTTCAGGTCATGGAGATAGAATATTGTACGTGTGAGAAAAATATACGGCATCATGCAATGTTTCAGTTTGTTTTGTGGCAGGTAATGAAAAGCTTCAGTTAATATATGTGGTTGTGCAGTACAGGAATTAATGCTGCAAAAGGTATTTAGGAATATCTGTTTTACAACAACGTTTAAAGCAGATTGACTAGAAACAGCTTTTCATAAGTCTAACAGATCTGATGACGTATTAAGCATAGAAACATCTGCTGTTAATAAGTCGAACAGTACTGATGACGTAATTAGCATAGGAACATCAGCTATTAATAAGTCGAACAATTGTTGTGGGTTTCACACCATTTTTCAGCACAAGTTATGATATACAGTATAAATGGTGAAGGATGAACCCGGGAAGAAGCACCGACCTACGAGAAGCTATATGCAAGCTTTCTTGCATACGCACATTGGTCGAAACGGAGACTCGAACCCACACAGAGGTAAGATAGCAATGATCCGTAACGGTGAGCGCTTAAGACCACTCGGCCACTCTTGGCCCTTCATGCCAAGCAGTAGTGATGACACAATAAACATAACACATCGGATATCACTAAGTCGAGCAATACTGGTAACATGATAAGCAAATCAATAAATCGAATAGTACAGATACGGTGATAGGCAAAGCGATTATTTACAATAAAATCAAAATAACCACTGATAAAGAGAAGTAAAAAAACAGTCTCGAACAAACATTAATACAGTAACAATGACCGTGATGGAGTAAAGAAAACCATAACTTAGAAAAACTTAAAAGAAAGCAAGATAAGCTTGAACGGGAAAATGTTTAACTCTTGGATGTTTTGCCTGAGCCAAGATTTCATGTTCACAAGAAATCCGAAGTCTTAAAGAAAGAAGGATCTGTATCGCAAATAATGGACACCCTGGAAAATAAGTACATTTTACAAATCCAATTATCAACCAAAATTGGTGACCTGTATATTGTATTAGAGATAGCAAACTTTCTTGTTGGGTATAATAAAGTTTCCAATGAATTCAAAAACAATATCTTCCAAGATATAATTTATACATTTCTGTATCAGACTTACCCATATGAATTCCACTAATAATTGGGTTGATATCATAAGCTATCAAAAGTTACAATAGAATTAACTTCAACTAGAATGTTGAGCTAGCCGTGATGCCTATAATGCTGTTAAAAGTCACATTTGTAGCCGTACTAAACAGACAGTCTTCAAAACCAAACGCCACAGTGTATCAATATATCTCTTTTCACGTAACAATCCTGATGGGTATCACATAATGCACATACTGGTAATCTTTACTTGATGTGTTCGAATGGTGATGAGTAAACTTTTCCTTTTGGATAATGCAGCTATTCATTAAAACATTCAACTTTTGCTGTGTATTTACTTGGTAAATATCTTACAACAAATATTTGGATTTCGTGACTCCAAAATGTTTCAATATTTCTGTGAATGTTTATCATTCGAGTACGTGCTCAGCAGCTCTCGTGATTTTCTATGAATATTATCTATAAATCTAATTGTTCGCTTTATTTAGATTCTTAAATCCATCGAGAAACTTTCAATTATGGAATCATTACTGAATGAATATATTCTCGTCTTCAGAAATAATTTTACTAACATACTAAGAGACAATAAGATGTGTTGGACTTGGTGCAATATGTGCTTTTGTAGAGTTATTGATTGTCTTTCCGGTTATCTTTCTTTTTTTTAGCAGTATCCCTGCACTTGAACCCTTTCATTTATTCTTGAATAATTATTTCAATATAATTATAGTAAGTATTGTGATATAATAGTAGTATTAGTCCTGAAATTAATTTCACAGTGGATCATTTTGTTTCTTATTGATTCAAATTGGGCATATTCTAAGCAACAACAATAAAGCACAAAATGACGTAAAGTATTAACAAATCATTGTTGCTGCTTGCTATATATTTTTACATTATTCTAACAGTGTATTTCATCTTAAGATGGCTCAGCGAAATTTACATCGCAAGGGATGACACAAATGACCCATCCCATAGCGTTGCCTCATCAATTGCTGTTTGTGTTCAGTCTGCTGACCGTATACCTTGGTCTCCATACGCTTCACTCAGTGTACCATCAAGTAATCAGTATATGATTCAGGGATTCGGGGAATTGTTGTTTTACGCAAATGTTAATGTGCTATACATTTTAGAGTAGTTTAGAAATAGTATTTAATTTAGAATTTGTTGATGTATTTTTATTTTTTTCTTTATGTGGGAAGAGGACACGATAAACAGATTTTAATATTTAATATTTGAAGTAGTGTTCTTTCTAAACAAATGTAAATCACATAATGATTGAAAAATTTTTATATTTTGCATGCAAAGGTTTGAAGTTAACCGCTACAAAAATAGGTGCATTTGCTACAACACGATGCGAAGTAGTCATTATGAGATGAAGTCTAGTATGATAAGATACATTTAAAAAAATGTATTATGAACTTAGATGCTTCATTTGATAGTAGTATTGCATAAATGACATCCCTGTTGCGTGTGATTGTAATTTTAACGTAGCCTTTTACACCGTTCAGTCACATCGCTACCATGTCTGCAGTGAGGCAGTTTATATGGATGTCTAGCACTGGGTTATCTTGCCGCAGACAATTTACATGTCTCACCCAATCACATTATATTGACACCGGACTGACTAGTCCTAACAGTAAACTCTTAATCTTTAGCGCATAGCGAGGCAGCTGTTATCAAATTTTTTATAAGTCCATGTATTACGCGGCCGGGGTTCAAACTTGCGACCTCCCGCATACGAGGCAGACGCTCTAACCACTAAGCCAATGGAACGGTTGACATCGTATTGCAAATATAAACTTGCAGTTACTAAATACTTAAACATGACACGGAAAATATAATTACATACAGTGGTAAAACAGCGATTTGCATGGTAAAAATATTTACTTACTGCTTTCGTAAATAGTTACATGACAGTTGAATATACATTCATCTGTTATAAGCATTGTAATATGTTGGACTGTATTTAAATACCTTGTGCATTGCATTAGATTCTGTTATATTGTGTTGTATAATGTATGTCATGGATTGCACTCAAAATAGAAAGTTATACATAATTCATGTGTTCATTGTTTGAACTAGATTTAATTTTAGGATTAAAAATAGTCACTCATTCTCAATTAGAAAAGATTAAGGATTGTATTTCCAGTAGTCAAACACAAAACCACTCGCGCCACCCACCCCACTCCTAACAAACAACAACATGTAATGTTTAATTCGTGGATTTGTTTGTTGTTTTGTGGAATACAGGTGGTGAAATATTACGCAGGATGTATGTTTGTGCTTTTCACCAAAACATATTGATATGCAACCTGCGAAACAGCAGTTAATCAACACACACTAATCAGTGGCGTCACTGGGAAGGGGTGCGGGCGTTGTGGAGCGCACCAGGTGACACCACCAGAGGGGATGACACCAAAAAGATTGGATTACATTTTTGAATATTTGTGCAGGAAGGAGGTCCATGGGGGTGAAATCATGAGTTACCTCACTAGGTGATACCAACCCTAGTGATGCCACTGCATTAATTAACCCGTACATTCGCATCTTTTGAATTTAGGAACATCTGCATTTTTACTTGCTAATGAAATAAAACCACGGACATAAATAGTTTAGTTTCCTCAATAATTGTTCACAGTACTGGAATATATGATGTATGTGTTGAATACCTAAACAAATTAATAATTATGTTTTTTAAACATTCTATGCAGATACCTATATTAGTTTTTAAATGAAAAAGAAGCTTCATTGGAGACAACAACCCTTCAATTTTCAGACCGGTTAGGTTTGTTCTGGAAAAGGAAGTTAGGATTTGACAAGTCTTGCCATATTAAACAGCAATCTATAGTATAGTCTAACAGCGCCGGACGATGACGGACCGGATTTACAGGTATTTGAAAGAGCTGATCATTTTTAACACACATGTTAAATTATAAGACAGTTTCTAAAAAAGTGAAAGAATATCGAAAACACCTGTATTTTAAAATATCAGGAACATTAATGGATACTGCAAGACAAAATGCAGAAAGTTTCAAAGCTCACATTTAAGAACAAAAAATCGGTAAAGAACACTTTCAATAACAACAGCTGGATCACTGACATAACTTAAACGCTCGACATATGGCGATCAGTTAAAAGAGATGAGATAACTTTTCATGGCAAATTACGAAAAGAAACATACCCGTTCTGCATGGAATAAACACAATTTAAAAAAAAATATTCACATAATATGTATGTATGTATGTATGTATGTATGTATGTATGTATGTATGTATGTATGTATGTATGTATGTATGTATGTATGTATGTATGTGTGTGTGTGTGTGTGTGTGTGTGTGTGTGTGTGCGTGCGTGCGTGCGCATGTATGTATGTATGTATGTATGTATGTATGTATGTATGTATGTATGTATGTATGTATGTATCACACTCCATGTGTCTATGTAGTGCACTATAACTACAAACGCTCAGATATATTAGCACATAATTTATAATGCACTCTGGTAAACTCAAGTTCTAATTGTTTAATATGAATAACAGATACTGTATTCGTCAAGCAAAATATAAACCTGCAACATCAGTCTTTTTATTTATGTTTCTTTGATTCTATATCTTCCATAAAACACCTAGAGGATTATTTCCTGTCTAGTTCAATATTTTGCAGCGCTCAATCGGAGTAAATACAATTGCTTTCCCCATCCTTTAACTGGCATTGAAATGTTCAACTGTGACGGTACAAATGGCAATGAGCAGCACCACAACAATAGTTTCATATTTCACGCTGCGGGAAAGGTTCAACACTATAAATTGATCGTGATCCGCGAACCTTGCTAGAATGAAATGAGAGTAATTTAAACACTATTTATCCTTTCAAGATTTCAAGCCGGAATATCATCTACGCATGGTTGCTCAATAGGTCCGATTCACTTCAAATTCTAATTGAGAACGAGGCTGAAAGGCTGATTATGGGGGCTGGACCTGTGAAGATTACCTTGCATTATGTATATAAACGCGCTCATGCTCTCTTTGTACTGCAGTAATTTGAAATTTAATGCCCAAAATGATCTGGGAGGCGATTGCTTAAACTTGAAAAGGTAGTTTGGTGAGGTATGAATATAAATATATTCCAAAGTGAAAGCAATGTCATAAACATTCTCGTATTTCCTTTGTTGGAACTGATTGAGATATTTAGAGTTATTAGACTACGCAGATTGGTAAATCAAAACACTAACGGTGTCAAAACAAATTTGTAGATGATGTCTGTAAGTTGGCTATACAAATACTTGGGGCTTTGTACAGTAATAATGTTGTTGAAACACCAGCATTAAAACAGGATTACAAACAAAAGTGATTGAGATTTATATAGCAGGAAAGATGAGATTGGTTAAATGGGATGTTTTACAAGCAGGATAAACAAAATCAGCTTTAAAATAGATATGATATATATTTTTTATTGACAGTGATACACAGCGTATCTGCAAATCTCGAATGGCGATCTTCTTAAAGATCTTATCTCGCATACTTGTTGACTTTTTTACAATTATAACCAAGACTATAAAAACGGAACAACGGCAGAAACGTTAATCAATGGACTCTATTTCAGGCTACAAGTCTCAACTTATGCCATGATGTATATATTCTATTGTTTTCCAATGGTAGTCAATGCAGTTCGATTCTCTAAGTCGACATCTGTATGCTGGAAGGAAGGGTAGGTGAATTACGCCATAAACCGAATATAAATTGACACCATATGTAAGGCAAGTGGAATAGTAAAATGAGTATGATTCCAAAATGGCATTAGGTTAGATGTCATCATCAATTTGTTTTTATACAGATTTCACATTTAATATGTTTTCTCTAGCAATAAAAAACGTGGAAGCATGATCAAGTTGTTTTTGTGCATATAACTTTCAGTCAAACGAGAGGTAAATAAAGTAAAATTCATCCAGAAAGACACAATTATTTTGTGTACGGAGCCAGTTTTATTGTTGTATCCGATTAACCAAGTTTACCAACATTAAAATAATCATTGTACATTACCATCTCGAATGTGGCATTCGATTAACCTAGTTTACAAACACTACCATATTCCTTATACACAGCTACATTGATTGTGCTCAACAATTTACAATGTCGACCAACACTACCATTATTTCCTGTACACGTCCATTTTGATAGTGGCAACCGATTAACGAAGTTTACAAACAAAACCAAAATTTCCTGTATATAGCCATTTCGATTGTGAAAAATTATTTACAAAGTCTACTAACCCAATCATATAACCTGTAAATAGCCATTTTGAGTGTGTTAAACGATATACAAATTATACCAACACTACCATTATTCCCTGTACACAGCCATTTTGATTGAACCGCGTGATATATAAAGTCTACTAACACTCATTATTCCCTGTACACAGCCATTTTGATTGAACCGCGCGATATATAAAGTCTACTAACACTCATTATTCCCTGTACAAAGCCATTTTGATTGAACCACGTGATATATAAAGTCTACTAACATTCATTATTCCCTGTACACAGCCATTTTGATTGAACCACGTGATATATAAAGTCTACTAACACTCATTATTCCCTGAACACAGCCATTTTGATTGAACCACGTGATATATAAAGTCTACTAACACTCACTATTCCCTGTACACAGCCATTTTGATTGAACCGCGTGATATATAAAGTCTACTAACACTCATTATTCCCTGTACACAGCCATTTTGATTGAACCACGTGATATATAAAGTCTACTAACACTCATTATTCCCTGTACAAAGCCATTTTGATTGAACCACGTGATATATAAAGTCTACTAACACTCATTATTCCCTGAACACAGCCATTTTGATTGAACCGCGTGATATATAAAGTCTACTAACACTCACTATTCCCTGTACAAAGCCATTTTGATTGAACCGCGCGATATATAAAGTCTACTAACACTCATTATTCCCTGTACACAGCCATTTTGATTGAACCGCGCGATATATAAAGTCTACTAACACTCATTATTCCTTGAACACTTCCATTTTGATTGAACCACGTGATATATAAAGTCTACTAACACTCATTATTCCCTGAACACAGCAATTTTGATTGAACCGCGCGATATATAAAGTCTACTAACACTCATTATTCCCTGTACAAAGCCATTTTGATTGAACCACGTGATATATAAAGTCTACTAACATTCATTATTCCCTGTACACAGCCATTTTGATTGAACCACGTGATATATAAAGTCTACTAACACTCATTATTCCCTGAACACAGCCATTTTGATTGAACCACGTGATATATAAAGTCTACTAACACTCACTATTCCCTGTACACAGCCATTTTGATTGAACCGCGTGATATATAAAGTCTACTAACACTCATTATTCCCTGTACACAGCCATTTTGATTGAACCACGTGATATATAAAGTCTACTAACACTCATTATTCCCTGTACACAGCCATTTTGATTGAACCGCGTGATATATAAAGTCTACTAACACTCATTATTCCCTGTACACAGCCATTTTGATTGAACCACGTGATACATAAAGTCTACTAACACTCATTATTCCTTGTACACAGCCATTTTGATTGAACCACGTGATATATAAAGTCTACTAACACTCATTATTCCCTGTACACAGCCATTTTGATTGAACCGCGCGATATATAAAGTCTACTAACACTCATTATTCCTTGTACACAGCCATTTTGATTGAACCGCGCGATATATAAAGTCTACTAACACTCATTATTCCTT